TTTAGCCATTTTAATTCTCTTAATAATATTATTTTTTTAATTCACAAGCTAACATTTCCTTTTCTCTCTTTATGTTTTCTTGTATACTATGAACATTTGATTTATTGCTTCGCAATCTTGTTTCTAAATTCATCCAATCATACATGTTATTAATATGTTCACTAGATGTCTCATGAGTTTTTAATATAGTACTAATATTTTTCCAATCATTAACCCGCCACCAAAAATTTTACTTGAAGTAGTTTTAATGCTAAACAACTTATAAGAAAAACAAAATACTTTATCTACACTTTTTGAATATACAAACCATCTCCTATCATATTTCTTTCGATTAGGTAAATTTCGAATATAACTTGAAATAGAGAAATGTCTACCATCACGATCTTTTGGAAAATCTATATTAGTAATTCTAATAGGACCTTTTTCCACTAGTAAATCTCGTAATTTTGTATTTATATTGATCTAATTTGCCGGATCAAATTTATAAAGAAAGTTGGCATTTTCTTCAATTACATTAAGATCTGTAGCAATATTTTCATTTGAATTATTAACATTATTTTTTCATTTTCTTCTCGCATAGGAATTTCATTTTGATCATTAGTAGGATTATCAATTGGAACAACAATTAGATTATCGTTTTGAATATTAAGAATATTATCATTTTGAACATCATTAGGATTATCGTTTTGGCCATTCATAGGAATTTCATGTTCGTTTCTAGCATTTTGATTCCTCCTATTCATAAATAATATTTCCATAACTCCTCTTTGAGAGTCATCATCTTTCTTTAGTTTTTCTTGTCTTTTTCTTTTTTGACAACCAGACATGTAATGTCTACCACTCGACATAATAAAGCAAACGGAGATTAGCAATCCTAGAAAGTAGAAACAATAGAACCTGAAAATTGCAAGTTTTTTTCTTTTTATTCGCGGAAATTCTGGAAATTGGAAGTTCGAACTTCGAAGCCTAGTAGCCGACAAAATAAAATCTGAATAATTACCTGCAAAAAAAGTAAAAACAAGAAAGATATACTTAAAGAAAAATGATAAGGAAAAAAAATAAAAGAAATCGTCAAACAAAAAGAAAAGAAAACAAATCTTGAGATTTTGTTGTGTGATTCACGTTGAGTGGCAAGAGTTTTTGGTGGAATTTTTTTTTTACGGAAGAAGAGAGAGAAGAAGAAGAATGGTGGAGTTTATTTTTTTTACGGAAGAAGAAGAAGAAGAGGAGGGAGAAGTGTGAGGGAGAAAAAAAAAATAATTTAGAAGAATATAACGTGAATTCAAGGAAACTAAAAAGTCTTGATTCATGGGATGTGGTGAGAGAATAGTGGGATTGTGTGAAGTGGACCATAGTAAATTAAGGAAATAAACGTTTTTTTTTACCGGAGAATTCTATATTAAATACAACATAGAACTAATATATATAATATATATATATATATATATATATATATATATATATATATATATATATATATATATAGCGGGGACCCCTGGGGGCGCGGGCCCTGGACCATTGTGATATAGGGGTATAAGTGGACTTGGGTGTGAGGGTGGTGGACGTTGACATCCTTAGAGGTTCTGGTTCAGGTGGAGAAGGAGTGATGGTGAGGCGGATCCAAAAAATTGAGATCGCATGTGTGCGAGTGTCTGCGAGTGAGTAAGGGTGAGGGTGAGCAAGGGCTCCAGAGCGTAACGAGATCTTGACAATATGTGACTGTGAATGCCTGTGGATGCTACGTGTGTCTATAAATGATTATGTTAAAAAAAAAAGAATTAAAAAAATCAATATTATTTTGAAAAAATGGAGGAAAAAAAAAAGATTTTTATTAGTGAAAAAAAAAACGTGTTCTACGTAAAAAGTAATAATAACAAAAATGTTAGATGCAAAAATGAAAAGGCTAAAAGCATAACAAAAAATAATAAATGCTATTTATCTATTACTTGGTTCAAATTTTATTTTTGTGTCGAATAATTAATTTTGTAAAGGAGGTGAAGCAAAAGTTTAGATTGGCTTATCATTCAATTCTAATATGTTTTGTCACCAGTGACATAAATCTTAATGCCCCTACAATTAAAATTCTATAAATTAATACAGCTGGAACTAGAAAATTTAACTTAAATTTAGCGAAATATTAATTTGTTGAACTAATACTTTAAGGGGTTTTTAATTTTTATGCATAAGTCACTGACCAACAACCTTTATAAATCTCGGTTCAGGTGTTATGTCTCTTTCGCCAATAAGTTCATCTCTTTAACATATATTATAAGTAAATGCAAACTTAATATTGATAACAAAATTACCCCAATCCCTTTACATCTAATTCCAAAATTTAACTATAATATAACTTTTATTTTCGCTAATTTTGACTACAAAAAATCTTATTTGAGTTTTTCTTTTTTCTGATTTTGTCTTTCTACCGCCGAATTCCAGCGTATGTTTTTTTTTCTTCTTAATTATGTTTCTTCAGTTTTCTTTTTTTTCCCGCCTCCATGACCGGCGGTCTCCGGCGGGTTTGATTTTTTTTAGTTACTAGTACTTTAGTCATAATATCTCGAAATTACTTTTCATTTGGTTAGAGCGTCGTGCTAATAACGCGAATACCGCATGTTCAAGCCACCCTTGCGTGTGTTGGGAATCGGGCACGTGTACGCAGCGGAAAAAAAAAATTTATGCGAATTGAACGAATTTAAATCACATAATCACATGCCCGACAATAATAAAACAATTAATTGCGTACCTTTCCGTTTCTAGCAAAAATTAAAAAGACAATCATGCGAATTAATTTAATCAACAGTAAATCAATTAGCATGTTCGCAGTAAATCATGAATTTCATATAAACATAAAATACATATAAATTCACGAAGCATACTACGAAAAACGAACATGGATAATTTAATTTAATTCAATAAAAAACTAATCAAATACCGGATTCGAGAATTTACCTCTTGAAACGTGAGGTTGGTGCATGAATCGAAACAAGATTGCCACAAAAACAAATCCATGCATTCGGGGAGCGACGACGGCGAAGCTACGGCGGCGGCGACGCATAAGGATCACGCGCTGTCTTCGGGCAGCGCGTGGGAGCGCGTATGTCGTCGACTCGGGACTGCTCCTCGATTCTTCGAATCTTCGATCTTTCTCCTCTCGGATTTCACCTCGTATACATCGATTTACTAAATACGTGGCACTAGACACACAAAAGTTAGAATAGACGGAAGAAAAGAAAAGAAGAAAAGAACTACCAAGATCAAATCGGCGCAAGTGGCCGATTCGGCGACCAAACGGTGGCAGCGGCGGCGGTGGCCATAGATGAGATCGGCCGAGAGAGAAAGAGAGATGAGCGACTAGGGTTTGTGAGATGTGTTGTGCTGCCAATTCTCGATTTCTAATTTTTAAAAGTGGAAACCCTAATTCAGTGCACTTTCTAAATTTGGAAACTTCCCGATTTAGAAATTTAACTAAGATGTTCGCCTATTCTTTTCATTTTCTTACTTTCATTCATAATTCCAAATTACGAATGTTGGACTCAATCATATTGACCTCCAATCATGAAAATATATAACATTTTTATCTATGACCGTTTATTCAAAGATCTCGAGTGCACGAGCAGTGTGACCCTCGATGGTTCAGGTGTAAGCTAGCCGTGGGTCCACAACCCTTTGTGGTCAAAACTTGTCCCTTAGAGTTACGATTAAGATGAAGCTCGTTTCACCTTAATCACCCAACGAATCAAGATTGGCGTCTAGCAACTACGCGTCATGATTCCCTAGATACAAATGAAGTGCCTGCAAGAAGCTTTTTGATATAGTTAACGTACAGTACGATCCCTTCGATTCATATGACCGATCGAACTAGAGGCATTGGTTCATCGAGACCTCCTTAGTAGTTCAATAGCTGTGCAATCGTTCTAAGTGTTGTAATCGGTACGTGCATGACTTAGAGAATCGAATTCTCTAATCATCACTTAGTCAGCTTTGGCCAAAGACTTAGAGATTACAAACTATGAGAACACACAGGACATCCAAGACTATTCTAGCGATCGAATCCCCGACTACAATGCAAAGACCTCCCACTAGATTTCAGACTGCACGGACACTGGCCCTTGGGCTGGTCCTCGGTGGAACTCAAGTACATGTCACGATACAGCTAGTCCTCTAGTGAAGTCACGGTGATGTCTAGGTCATAAGGAATAATGGTGTACAACTATATCATAGATATCTCTACTCGATTATTGAGAACCACTTAGAGACTTCTAGGGGAGCGAGTTCAGTGAACGCGTCAACTTATGAGCCCCCACTGATGCATGTCGATATCACAATACCGTTTACTGATGAGATGCATTACACATACACTAAGTGCTAGTATCTTATGGGAATAGGCCGATATGCTCATTGGTGGCGTAACCCTTCAACTAGGAACACGTTTAACAGTTATAATACTACAATAAATATCTCACGATCCTAAAGATTAATTACTAGTACTTGTATTAACTGTCAGGACTATATTTATATTTGAGACAAAGGGACCACTACAACAAAAATTCCCTGTTGGGACACGAACAAGTGTCCCAATATATATTATATTGGGACACTTGTAGTTAATGGGACATTTATACTAAGTGTCGCATGTTTGTGTGTCCTATAAAGTTTTGGGACATTTAAAGTGTCTCAATATTTGTCTTTATTGGGATACTTATATATATCTTGTGAGTATGTTGATATGATACAAACAAGTGTCCCGTTATTGCATTTGCGCATATGGCATAAAATTATCTAGAGACACTTATTTGTGACTTCAAACTTATACGGGGCATTTCCAAGTGTCCTTTAAAAAATATTAAAATGTCTCCAAAAGACTATATTAAAATGAATTACCAAAACCCAATTAGAGATTTAGAAAACAAATTACAGTATTTCTTAAATTTTTGTGGTCTTCTAATCAAATCACAAGATTTATACAAAACAAAACTTATAATAAATGTAAGAATCATGACTTGTAGTCAAATGCAATTCATTCATTAAAAATACACTGTTCTTTCAATGTGTTCTTATGAGATGCTAACATTATACTAACTAATGTTCACTGGAAATACTATAGCATATACATGAGTCTATAAGTAACTCTCGTACTTCAAAGTTGTTCCCTTCTTTTCAAGACTTTGCTCTTTCCCAAGTGTGACTTCTTTTTCTACACGTTCAGGTCCGGAAGTATTCTGTCACAAAAACACACAAATCTCAATTATAGTAGAATACTAACCTTCCTCAAAAACTTAAAAAATTATGTAAAAGTAGAAACATCTTCCTATAACCATAAAAAATCAGTACAGACATGTCTGTACCTTGTAAACATGCAGAGTTTGGTGCCATACGTTGCTAACATACATATGTTGACAATGAAACTAATAGATTAGTTACATCCTTCACATAAACTATCTGTAGTCATCGGACGATAATAAATAAAGAATGATCGTGAAAGGGAGCATACCACACTCAAATATTGAGATAAAAGTTAACACTCAATGGCGACATGTAAATGTCGATTGATCTTTAAGAAAATTCTACAATAAATAAATTTATGCGCATAGAGATTGCATTCTAGCGTAATAGTTATATTATAACGGTACACAAAAAAAACACAAGTTAAGAAGTTTAAGAATCATATAAAATTTGTAAAAGTATACCTCCTAGTTGCACTTTCACGACTTTACCTATTGTTCAATTTTGTGTTCTCACATTGTGACCTGCAGAAAAAGGTAAATATAGAAAAAAGTTAGACTCATCTTTGCGAACAAAATCAACAAAAAAACATATTACGATATTTAATATAATTTATTCTAAAATTTTCAAACTAATGAACTCATTACAACTCATAATATAGGTAATTTAAGTAAGATGATACGAGACATAAAAATAAATATACAAGGCTCTGGTTGCCCCTCAATCTTATACATTAATGCCACCAATAGTGGCATGCCTATGCAGATAGAAGCAACAAATAGACTAGTTATGGTCGAGGATGTTAAACTCAAGAAGTTATGATGGACAGTAGAAAGTTTAAAAAACTCTAGTTTTTTTACAATCAGGTGAAAGTTAGACACATTAATCAACGAAACTCTCTACCATTCAGAGCAAACTTGATCAGATGTAACAGAACATAGGGGACTCTGCCATTTGGGAAATCAATCATGTCTTAGTGTTTGTCCCTGTTTGTTAGGATTGCCTGCAAATCTGCAGCGAATCACCATGGTTGATAACCCATATTGTGAATCTTTCAACTAAGAGTGCGCACTTTTTACGAATTAAAGCTGAAGTAAGCAGAACATAAAGAACAATCATATTGAATAACCAATTGTAATGCCTAGACAATGAACCTAATCATCAACCACCTGTTTTTCTCCCACAATTCATCTATCCACGGCACAAAGCAGTAATATAGGATATGAGGTATACTTTTATAAATTGATTTTCAGAATACAAAATCAGGGGTTTAGGGCTAAGGTTTCTTCATTAGGATGATAAATTGCCATGGTGATGCTATTTAGATTACAATTTAAACAATTTCTTATATAAAATCGGTTAATAAATAAGTAATTGAATAAAAAAAAAAGTCACACATTTAGGAATTAAATCTGATTCTTATAACGAAAACATTCTCTATTTAGAAGCAGTCATAAACCTCCATGGACCATTGAAAGGTGCTACTCTATTTCTTAGGTTTTTGGTACAAATACTAATCAAATTTCATTAACAGAAAGAGAAAAACTCAAAGGAAAACCGTAACCTCACAAACCAAAGTTCGTGCTATGATTGTTAATCGGCAGAGCACGTCTTGTGCGCATCCATCGAAGCTTCAGTCAACCCTTGTGAATCGATCCCCAAATTGCTCTTCTAAACTCGTCGACGACCAAATTGAAGAATTTGGTGACGCCATGGACGGAGGAGTGAAGTCGCCGATATCCTTTCGGTGTAGATTAGCCTTTGAACATTGAAAACCTAGAATATTGTTTTGATATTCGACAATACCAAGTAATAAGAGAATAAAGTGATATATTATTATTTCTATAGAAAATAAAAAATAAAGTAATATATTAATATGGGTTATGTTGAAAATAAAAAGAGGACCGCCAAATCTATAAAATTGTTCCGCTAATTAATTTGAGGTACAAGTGTCCCAACAACCTTAATAATAGGGACGCAAATTAAGAAGTATCCTAATATATGGTAATTGCGACATTTATTAAATAATGTCCCTAAATAAGTGTCCTAAGAGATGTATTTTGTTGTAGTGCGACAAAGATATCGAATGCCAAGGTGTTTTATCATAAATAGGAAAAAGGTTTATTTATTACAAGAATAAATGGAAAGACCACAACCACATGTTGGCTTGTTGGTCACCTACTCTAACAGCATGCACCTAGAACGTTTCATGATTTATTTTGCTGGTTAACGAGCGATGTTCTACTCTTCGACTACCTCGCACACGTGGCAGTAATTGTCAACATTATCTACTCTCCTAGGCTATAAAAACTCTTCGGTTGCGCAATTAACACTTGAGCCTCATCAAACACATACATTGTTGGTGTATGTTTTCTCCATTAAACAAAACTTAAACCACTGAAATTGAAGTTCAAATAAATACCTCTTTGAATATTATAACAATTAATATTTTAATAATTTATTTTAGTTTATTATCGCCTTGAATATTATAACAAAATGTCACTAAATACATGGCATAAAGTTATATATCTACATGTTGCCTTTTCAATTTAACTTGAACCGGTATAATCAAAGTATATTTGGGTGAGTTGTGATAAATATTAAAGATACTACAAAAATTGTATGTTTATAACCATTACCACGTACTATACTTTCATTATATCTTATTTTACTGTCAGAATAACTAATTCTACAACATTTCAATGCATTTCGCATTCATTTCATGTTTTTATGGATTTTTGCAATTTATTTTAGCATTTTTTTTTCATCTTAGTTTTGTATCATTTTAATTGTTCCGCTATCTTTAAAATAATAATACCAATTCGTAAAAGGCAAAATATTTAATTTGTAACTCCATTTTTTGGCTCGACTTGTGCAATTTAAATTGACGTTTTTGTGCTTCAGATGATAGATCTATGATAAAACTATCTCACTTTATTATCTTCACTTTATTGTATATACTGTGGACTCCTTTGCAAGTTGAAGAGGCCACCTGAGAACACGCAAAGGAGATGATGAAGTATCAAAACGTACTACAGCTATGAGACATGGCTGATGAAAGGTGGGACAAATATCGTGATTAGGTTTTACATGTTGGAATGAGGGTTAATAAAAGAGGCGGTCTCGTCTCGAAGAACAAGCCAATTTTCATTTAAAAAAAGTGATGTATTAAGTCCATGCTTGAAAATCACATGTAGAGTATCTTCACTGCAGAACTGTGGATCTAATGTTGGAACAAGAAGGATTTGGTTTAAACATGGAAAGAAATGTTGAAATAAATAGGTTATATTATTAAGTTTGGACTAGTTAGCTGTAGGTAGAGTAGAGTAGGCCGTAGCGGTTATCCCTAGCTTCCATCTAGTTGTTTTCATCACTTTGTAAGGCAATATAGCTATATCTTTTTCATTGAGATATTGTATGAACTCGGAACTTACTTTTAGAGCAATCTATTGATGATTTCCAAGTTTTTTATATTTCTTATTAATGTGTTTAAGTTCTAGTCCATGGGTTAACTACGTTTACCAGTAATTTACGACATGCATACGAATTGAGAGACGTGTACAATATTGAAGGTATTCATTATCAAAAGCTAATTTATAATATGTTTAACTAATTACATATGCACGACATAATAATAATAAAATTTTACTTAATGTGTGAATTAAATTCAGTTAATTATTTATACTATTTATATGAGTTTAAGTGTTGTTATAACTTTCAAAATAGACAATTATCTTAATGATATAATAACATACATATGTATGTATTGGAAAATATATTAAATATAAATTATTATTAACTTAATAGAGAATCCTTACTATTGTGCTTAGGTAGTAATAATGGTTTAGTCTTTGAAATCAATTTCAACGGCCCATTAACTCAGTTGGTTAGAGCGTTGTGCTAATAACGCGAAGGTTGTAGGTTCGAGACCTGCATGGGCCATCTCTAATTTCATTTTCTTTAAAAGTCTCTTATATATATTCAAAATCATATATTTAAACAATGCAATAAACATTATTTAATTTTACTATATAATTCGAACTTATAAAATATTTTTTTTTTAAATAATTTTACTATTTTAAAATTTAGCCATATTTTGGTCGTTACTAAATTGTTTTAATTATTTAATTTGTTTTGTAATATCAACCTTATACAATAAATAATATTTATTGAAATATGCTAAAAAGTTAATAATATTTTTAATATACACGATATAATGTACTAATAAATATATCTAATATAAAGTACTAGTAACTAATACATATTCCACTCTATTTTCTAGGATAAGATAGTAGCATTTCTAAAATATCTTCGGTGGCTCATTAGCTCATTGAAGGGAAAAGCCCAGCGGAAATCCCTTACATAAAGTCGTCTTAAAAGCTTATGGGAAGACGCCATCTGTTTCTTGTCCCACGTCGTTTCACAAGTGAAATATTACACTTTATTACCTACGAATATGTGAGTTCATTCACATGTGAATCAACCCTCCATTTCGCAAGTTAAACGGTTTTATTGCTTATTATACTTTGCAACCGATTTGTGAATGAGTGTCGGAGAACAATTGTCGAGCCAGCCGTTGTGTGCCAACTAGAACTTTTCATGATTTATTTTGAAGGTTAACGAGCGGTGTTCTCCTCTTCGACTACCTCGCGTACGTGGTTGTGATTGTCAAAATTATCTACTCTCTTGGGCTAAAAAAAAATATTCGGCTGCGCAATCGACACTTGAGCATCATCAAACACATAAACTGTTGGTCTACGTTATTTGCATTGCAAACATAACTTAAATCAGTGAATTGGAGTTCAAATAGATATCTCTTTGAATATTACAACAATTAGAATTGTATTAATTTATTTTAATTTATTTTAATTTATTATTTCTTTGAATATTATAACAAAACCTTAAAATATACAAGACATCAAGTTATTGATGTACATGTTGGCTATTCGATTTAACTTGAACTGGTAAAATTCAGAGTTCATTTGGGTGAGTTGGGACGATATTACAGATACTGCAAAAATTGTATGTATTTAACCATTACAACGCACTATACTGTCTGATAACTTATTTTACTGTCAGAGTAAACTCATTCTAAATATTTCTATGCATTTCACGATCAATTCATATGTTTATGGTTTTTTTCTATTTTTTATTTTAGCATTTTTTTCATCTTAGTCTTGTATCATTTTAACTGTTCTGCTCTCTTTAAAATAATAAAATTAATTTCGTAAATGCAAAATATCTCCATTGCCGAACTGTGGATCCAATGTTGGAACTAGAAGGATTTGCTTTAAATATGGAAAGAAATGTTGAAATAAATAGGTTATCTGTATAAGTTTGGACTCGTTAGTTGTAGCTAGAGTAGTATAGGCCTTGGCGGTTATCCCTAGCTTCCATCTAGCTATTTTCATCACCTTATAAGGCAATATAGCCATATCTTTTCCATTGAGATATTGTATGATATTGTAAGGCAATTACATTTACCAGTATTTTACGACATGCATGCGAATTGAGAGACGTCTACAATATTGAAGATGTTCATTATCAAAACCTATTTATAATATGTTTAACTAGTTACGAAATCATAGTCTATGCACGACATAAAATTATAAAATTTTACTTAATATATAAATTAAATTCAGTTAATTGTTTATAATATTTATATGAGTTTAAGTGTTATTACAACTGTCAAACTAGTTTACAATTATTTTAATGATATAATTAACATACACATGTATGTATTGGAAAATATATTAATATAAATTATTAGTAACTTAATAGAGAATCTTAACTATTGTTTTTAAGAAATAATAATTTAGTGTTTGAAATTTTTTTTAATGGCCCATTAGCTCAGTTGGTTAGAGCGTCGTGCTAATAACGCGAAGGTCGCAGGTTCGAGACCTGCATGGGCCATCTTTAATTTCATTTTTGCTTTAAAACAAAATATCTTATATATTCCGAATCATATCATACTACGTATATTTCGAACTTATAAAATAAATTATGTTTTTAATATTTTTATTATTTTAAATTTTAGCCCTAGTTTGGCCGTTAATATTATCATTTAATTATTTAAATTTTTTTTTCAATATCAACCTTATACAATCTTTATTGAAATATGCTAAAAAGTTAATAATATTTTTAATATACACAATATAATGTACTAATGAATTGATATAATATAAAGTATTAGAAATTGAAAGGAGGCAAAAGAGAAATAAGTATCGGGAAAAGAGAAAGAGGAAAAAAACAAATTAGCAAATAAAACCCTGGTCAAGAAATTGATATAAATAATGAATACATGTTTAGTCTTTTTATCGATTTCTATAACATCCATTGCTCGATGCCGACCAATTACCGTAAAAAAAAAAAAAAAAAAAAGAATTACCCATTAATATTTTTATTATTTTAAATTTTAGCCATAATTTGGCCGTTACTAAAATCTTTTAATTATTTAATTTTATTTTCAATATCAACCTTATGCAATTTTATTTAAATATGCTAAAAAGTTAATAATATTTTAAATATACGCGATATAATGTACTAATGAATAATGTAATATAAAGTATTAGTAACTAATACATACTCTACTTTCTATAAAATTGTAAAATTAGTATATAAAATAAATTTAATGTATAAGAATAATTTATTGTATCAATAAATAAATATATTAACGAATTATTGCAATATAAATGGAATTTTAATAAATGTGAAAATATAATTGCAATATTAAGGAATCTTATAGAATATAAAATAAATTCAATTTCATTCTTCATTAAATTTTGGACCATAATTGTAATAGTAAAAACACAATTATATATATAAACATTCTATCAAAATTCGAATCATGTAATGACAAATTGATGTTGTTATTATATAAAACTAATATTTTCTCTTTTCCTATTTTCATAAAATACTATAAAGAAGCCCTTATGTTTCACAATTGATATGTCTAATTGGGCCAACTCAATGAGCCTACAATTTCTTATTTACTGGGCTACGAGCCCAGTATTGAACATAACTACTACCGAGGCCCAATCACTTTCAAATAAGGTTTTGGCCCGA